GGCAAGGTTGCATTCATGGTGACCTTTTCGCTAGTTTTTCTTGAATTTAGGAACCTATCGTTTTCCGTTATTATTATTATCATTCCACTGTCCACAGTTTTTCTTTTCACTGGTTTTTCCTGAATTTCCGAACTTATTGTAAAATAATCATTTCACTGTTCATAGTTTTGTAGTAATGAAAATCTTATACTAATTGATGATTGGATTACATGCACTTGGCTAGATAGTGTAGTAGTTAGACACAGTTGAAGAGCCATGTTTTTAGTTTATGGATATATGTTGTGGTTCAATTTCATCCTTGGTTTCAATTTTATTACTTCGGCGGAGCGCGAAGCAAAGCATTCGCGACGCTCAGGAATGTCCCAAAGTTGCTTTTTTGAAACGAGATTGGACATGCAAAGTTTGTAAGTATTCGGCTTTAGTCGGCTATTTTACGAAGTGAGCGCCGAGTTAGTTCGAGATATCTCGAGATCAGTTCGATTTCTTTGTTATTGGAGGAAAAAAGAAGTAATTTTGTGGCCTCGGCCGGGGTTTGAACCGACTCACTTGTGTGACCCATCAGATCAGATGAGACCGTAAGTTGCGGAATTAGCCGATTGCGCCACTGCGACCCCAGGTAACTTGTTTTGGGAAACATAGCTATAAGTCATGCACGAGGTACAGGATAAGTTGGTGACTTTTCGGCTTGTTCTTATTTATTATTCTGGCTCGAAATATTGACCGCAAAAGTATTTCACAGAAAACATTGAATCAATTTGGGCTAGTACCTTCAAAATGTGAGCGAAAATCAAGATACAAGAGCAATTTTCAGTGCGTCTCTTTGCGCAGACGAGTTTTTCCAAAGTGCGTTTCAGTTTGGCTTTTATTGTCCAAATCTTGTCTTTTCCCCCCGGAATCTAGCTCGGAATTCGTGATACACCGTGGAAAACCCAAATTTATTAGTTTGCCGGTTAAATTCCCCGCCGATAGATCAAAGTTTCAGTTCTGTACTACGGCCCGAAGTAAGCTTATAGCAATTTTCACACGAACTTGGCTCCATCGCAGCCGTTTTTAGGCTCGTCAAGCAACGGTTGCGCGAAAACAAAGGCAAATAAAATTCAAACCAAGGATAAAATTGAGCCACAACATACAAAAGCAGAAATAAACTTCAAGTACAAATGCAAAGGCTGCTAATGAAATGTACAATAAGATTATAAAAATCAATCATAGTAATATACAAAGAAAATCAATATTAATTCAGTCAAAATCTAAACTTAAATTACTAGAATTAATCGTCATGAATTAGTTAATGAAGCCAAGCAGCGGCTGTCATTGCATCGTGAACCTTTTAGCAATTTCACAGTTTTTAGAAATTATCCATTTCTGTGGCCTTTCTGTCGTAAGGTTTTCGACTTTCTTCTCTTCCAAAACTTAGCTAGTCCCTTCTCTACATTTAGGTGAATGGGGTATGCAGCTAGCAAATCAAACTCAACTTCTATACTTTGTGTCCAGGATATAAACTGTTCACTTCTTATTAATTAGATCTACGTATTTATCTCTGTTAAACATTGTCTTTGCTGGTATTGTTCGTGGCATGGAAATAGTTCCTTCTATGATGAACCATTCCTTATTAAATACTATTAAATCATATTTAATGTAGTTAACGGCTAACAGCTATGGTCTCTAGTGTTTTGGCGTTCTTTGGTGGCGTGTTGGCTGTCTGTAGCGCTATTACGTGACTATGTTTGCTCTTGAAGCGTTTACCATTGTTCGTGAGCATGGGGACAGATTCCCGTCCAGCAATATGTCGCTTGGGCGCATGCGTAAGCCATGTACCTACCTTGTGTTTGCATTGCATTCGAAGCTTTGTTAGCCTGGCGTGGCGTGGCGTTCTAGTAACGTAGCGTGTCTCTTAGTTCTGTGCAAAAGTGTTTTCCCGTCGAAGTGGTTTTCGTTACTGTTGTTCCTCGTAGTTCCTGTTTTTGTTCGTCCTCTGCTGGAGAGTTTTTTGTTTTCCTTTGTAATGTCGCGTCTATCGCGCTAGACCAACAAAAGCTTATCGGCACGCTTTCCTACCCAAGTCCTGTGACGAGTACGGCTTCCAGTTCTTGGTCGCCTCAGTTAGCTGACTCCCTCACCGAGGCTGTGCTTCGAGCAATCAGAAACTCCATTCCCGATCGTTTCATCGATCCAGAGCAACGCCCCCTCGCACGTTTATTCTTCGGTTCCGGGCGTTTCTGCTAGCGAGGCTCCACAACCTTTATTTTCTTCAACGTCCGCTCCGAGTACGAGTACAAGTGACGGTGTTTCTTCGGTGGCATAAGGTACGTTTAGCCTTCCTGTGTTTGTTCCTAAGTTTACGCCAGTGTGGGCCATTATCCTCTCGAGCTCGGCCCGCCTCGTGGCTCCTACTCCCTCCACTTTCGTTTCGCCCGGCGTTACTAGTAGTCTTCCAAGCCTTGAGTCTTCGTTTGCATTACTTAAGTCTGAGAAGGCTTTTACTGTTGGTCCGGGGCATGCCCCTGTCCTTCAAAATTGGTGTCTAAAATTGTAGGTGGCCAGTTTGTCGAAATGGCAGATTTGTTGTCCGTAAATCTCCGAGCGCCGCAGCAGGAGCCGCAAATGTTCCTTGATGGTATGCTCGTGGTTTCTTCGTCAAAACGCAGGCAAGTGGAAAAAAAGACATTTTGACTTGGACCGACGCGTTCACTATTTTTCAGAGGGTGTTGTGCGCTGTTCATGCTCATCGTTGGCCAAACCTGTCCAAGTATAAGCTGCTTATCATTCATTCGTCATTTCTCTGGTTCAGCTTGGTTAAAGTATGACCTGACGTTTAGAAAGGACGCGGCTGTCTCTGGCCTCAGTGACTGGTCTAGGATGAACTTAGACCTATACAACTTTCACTTAAGGTCTCCAGCCATGGCTTCACCCCCGCTACCTCGGTCGTCTTCTTCCACGGAATCAGTGACACCAGCCTGGTCCCTCCTTTTTGCCATTCATGGAACAACGTGCAGTGCCGCTGGCCTTTTGGCAGGTGCAAATATCGACACCACTGCAGTAACTGTGAAGGTGATCACACCCGGATCAACTGTCCATTTCCGAATTCCTCTGGCACGGTACTGAATGGACGGTTATGCCCGGTTAGGTTTGTGTACATAGTGTAAATAGTTTTGTTGCGTCGCCAGGCGAGCAGAGTGATCTGCTTTCCTCGGTCAAGTCGTCTCTTGCTGTTATAGTTCCAGTTAGTATACCCAGCGTTGCAGTTCTGTTCGTTCTTTCCCGTCATTAGCCCCGGCCTCCTAGGTCTCTCCACTGCCCCTGGATCAGTTGATGCACCCATCTTTTTATTGCAGCTTTTGAATGTCCTATATATGGCTGTGAACTGTGCAAAGTTTGACAAAAATCTGTGTAGCCTAACTCTATCCTTTTCAAGGGAATTCCCTAACTTGCAAGTTATGTTGTTAATGTTTTCAATAAAATGACATGAGCTAATTAATCTTTGTTCAATCAAGCACACACGAAGAGGTACAGCCTTTTCTTTCAAAACAAAGAAAGTGTAAGTAATGTTTAAAACATATGCAGCAGTGATTAATCACTGGCACAAGAATTTTCAACCAGTGAAAATCACGTGCTGTGAGTGCTTTGAACAGCTTCAAAAATGTCCCCGGAGTATTTCACCTCCATAGGATTGCTAAATAATAAATTATATTTTTAACGTGTTTGATTGGAAAAAAGTTTAAAAACAAAAGCAGCAAAAATAACAAATGTTGGGCAGAAATATTTATGCAGAATAATGTATTACGCAACTAGAGTAAACAGTTTAAACGCCTACTCGCCTTCGCAATACAGCTAACAAAATGAAAGAAATTTCAGAATCAACCAGCGCTGCACAAGAGGAAAAATTCCTCAAGAAGAGTGTTGCTAAATCTTACAGTGTACTGAATTGCAAACTAGTAAGAATTACAGGTAAATTTTGTTGCTTGTGACTCCCTTCGCCAACTCCTTTTTGAAATGGTAACATGGCCCGTGATTTGGGGGGTTTTTTGGTTAGAAAACTTCGCATTTCGTTTTAGAAAAAGTTCTGACTGGTTAGACTAGGTTAAAGACCTCTTTGTTTGGGATGAAAAGTTTTTTTTGACCTTTTTCTGGAAGATAAGTTTTGTCAAATTGTTGAATTTTCATTTATTTGCTAGGAGGACCATCAATAAAACTTCATGCTCTTCAAGTATTCCATTGTTTCAGTCAGTCAAACCCATATCCCGTGAGGCTGAATTCAAAGCCCTCTCCTGACTTTTCAGTTTGCAGAGTTTTATCAAGTATAAAGGTCTTCACGTATGATAAAATCTGCAAAGTGAATTAGACAATATGCCTATTAAATATGAATGACTTTTGTTCTGGTTAGCCTGAATTTCATCCGATTACTTCGAGTCGTTATTATTCTCTTAGTAACGTCTGAATCGACTGGCCGTTAATGCCGTCCAGTGACGTCACTCACTACCCGAAAACCAGGTAGTGATTTTGATTGGTTGATTCTCTAAACATGCGCATAATTATGTATAATTACGAAAAATTTTAGCGGGATTGTCGCTTGATATTCAGCGGATCGCATCAATGGCATTCTTTCGTGTAGTTGAAAATCGTGGTTTACTTTTTGCATGAATTAAAGGAAAGGTCAAGGAGTAATGACGTCAGTGGACGGCATTAACGGCCGGTCGATTCAGACGTTGCTGAGGGAGCAATAACGACTCGAAGTAATCGGATGAAATTCAGGCTATCTAATACCAAGTATCAGTACACGTAACTCAATGACAAGTACAGCTCAGGAGGCCTACCGGTCAAAGCAAAACCACAGCGTTCTTACTTAGGAATAGCCTGGACGGTCGATTCAGACGTTACTGAGGGAGTAATAACGACTCAAAGTAATCAGATGATATTAAGGCTAACTTAGGAAGGTACATGTAAGGTAGGTAGCCACCCAAAAATTGGCACTGGAGAGTTAAAGAATTAAAATTATTTAATGCTTACAATCTTGAATCAGATCTGTGACCACCTCTTCCAACATTATCCATATCAATGTCATCATCATCATCAACTATGTGAGATCTAGGGTGTGGATGGCTGCTCTTTTCTCGATAATAACTGTTGCCACGACCTCTTCCTCTACCTCCACGATAAGACCTTCCTCTTCTTGGCCTCTCAGAGTCTTCAACGAGAAACGATACATTTGTACAGCTATTTTTAATAGCTAAAAGCAAAGAAGATACTACATGTATGACTTAAGTTCTTAAAATGTGCAAATTAATAAAGTGCTCAAATAATTCAATGAACAAATAATTGAGGGAAAAATTCAAGACGCACGCCTGAGGATAGAACAAACTGCTAAGGGACTGTTGAACAGGGTCTTGTTCCATACAATTTACTTTTTTGGGATGCTTTCAGTGAAGTAAAACTCTTTTGAACTACACGTGTAATAAGCGATGCACCAATGCTGGCAGAGGTCTGTGAATTGTGTGCAACTTGAACACTACGTCACCTTTCTTTCCCGTCGAAGGCAGCGAAACGACCTCTAAAAAACGTCATATCTTGATGCACATAAGGCACCAGCTTCTGTTTCACTTTTTTGCCTGCCAAAGGCGACAAAACGCCTTCTAAAAAACGCTACATCTTGATGTGTGCTGTCACGTTTTCTACGAATGGCCTCTGAATGCAGTACTTCAAACTGAGCCTGCGGTCATATTGTAGAAAATACCGCACTATCAAAGATGGTGCCCAAACTTACAATTTCATTGCAGACAAAAAAAAAGCTAGTTATTATCCGTTGTTCTAAAAGTTTTAAGTGGATGTGAAGTAATCAGAACACAGGGAAAATGTATAAAATCATATAAGAATTTTTGAAAAGATTTTGTGGTTGACTTTGGAAGTTATCTTAATCGTTCGTACGAGATTGTAGTCGTCTGGGACGACTGGACAACTGGGAATATGGATCCCTGCAAATACTCTTGTACCCAGATCTCTTGTTGAGGAAGCCAAAGCCGGATATGGTCAAGTCCGATTTGTACACGTCATTGCCTGTCAGGAATATGACTGGCAATGAAAGAGCGCATGCTCGAAACAAACCCTCAAATTTCGACGTGCTAAACAAAGAATTTGATTGAGCCGTGAAGATTTTGTCTAACAAAACGTGGTTATACGCACATCTTAAGTATGAATCAGCTAATTTGTTGTTGTTGTTTGTCACATCAAATTTAACATGACAGTTTAAATTTAATCCTCATGGCGTGCGCTAAAACCTCAAAGTAGTGCGCGTCAACTTCAACGCGATGTTTTTTTCACCCTTTTCAAAAGAGTTTATTGGTACTGAGAGAGAGTTTTAAAAAGTTGAAGATAAGGTACATGTAAAAATGTTTTTACAAGTTGTATTGAGGAAGAATACTACATTTTCACTGAAAAATAATTGCACACACCATAGCGCGCACAGAAGACAACACTCGTGACATTCCCTCACAATCTAGCTAATACAAAAAATTGAATTTTCGTACTTGACCAGATAAGAGATCTCAGGATGAGATCAAAACACAAATATATTGAAATGAACTATTATTTTCTTTTAAAATCTGTTTATAAAACTAAACCATACTTAAAGTTCTTGTGGCCTTTATGCATTCAGGGTTTTTGTTAGATAACAGTAAAGGTTGGTTTTCACTAGCAAAGGAGTCAGAGTCATTATCAGAAGGGTAGAACTTAACGCTGTAGTGAAAAAAGCGTTCTGAATTTTCTGATTCTGCATACGACTCTGTGAAAACTGGGTCATCGGAGTTGAAAGCACAAAGCATGGGAAAGTGCATTGTGATTGGTTTATCCTTCTGCTTCTGCTTCCGACCCCTCCAACAATCTGGTTTTCACTAGATCATAAGCGGAACGTAAGTGACGGAGTCGTATGTGGAGTCGGAAGAAAAAGCAAGCCATTTATATTATATTACAGATTCGAAGATATTATTCTTAAGAATTAAATGTCAGATTACAAGAATAAATGGAGAAGGGCAAGATAATAGTGAAACTAATTACATGCCCTTTGATAATTACAGTTTCATTTGGAATAAAAGAGAAAAAAAAAGAGAAGTATATAAACTATGAAATACATAAGAGAGAGGAAAAAGGAAAGTACACACAAAAAAATACTATACACCTATTTCAATAAAGTTTGCTTTGGTGAAGAATGATACATGGTCCATGTTTCATAGCCCGCGGTGCATTATGGGAGCAAGTCCAGTAAATTATGTGTCCGCGAGGAGCCTAGAAACCTAGAAAGCAAACGCTACTGACGCTTCAATTCTATGTCAGCAGAACGTTATCACAATGTATTTCAAAACACTGAATCCTAGGCTTTTTGGGACAGCGATTTGAGTTTGGGTTTTGCTCTGTGGTAATATGCAAATGTTGCAAATTTTCAACGAGTTTTCTTGGCTCGTACACGTGGGAATTTTGGATGGAGTCAAAAAAAAAAAACAAATTCAAAGCATATGTTGAACTACAATAAATAACTTCAAATTACGCATTTATGTATTTTTAAGGCAAGTCTTTTAAAACTGAATAAAAAAAGTATAGCCTTGACTTGCTTTATCGAAATAACCAGCATTCTGCCCCATCCAAAAACGCAGCTTAATCAGGCCGTAAAACCCTACTCCATTAATGTTGTTAAAGGAAGAAGCTTTCTCACAAATGGTCTCCATTATTTCAATGAACGTGAACAAGACTGAACTTCCCGCTACAAAAGGATTTACCACAGTGCACTGCAGGCCATGAAACATGGTTCATGGGAGCAACCTTAATTGAAATAGGTGTATAACCTTCGAGGGTTGGTGTGGCGATGATTAGATAATAGTAACATAGTGCTCATTTAAACAATTTTTTAGTTGTCTTTTCACTTAAATAGATAAAGGTATATTATTCCAATAATAACATCCTACTGTATAACTGTCGGACAGAATTTTCTTACATGTATATTTATCCCTGTACTGGGATTTAGGTGCTGCAAGGATACACTTCTGGTGTCATAACTATGTTGCTTAGACACCAAGGCCAGTGTGAAATTAGATGGCTTTTTATCTACAATATGATCATAAAACAGTCCACAGGTATTTAGCTTAACAATGTCAGAAAGCTTAATTAGACCAAGGTTCACATAATGAGGAGTAATAATTATGATCACGAAGTGGATGGTTATTAATAACTCTAACAACTTTGTTTTGTAGCTTTACCAACTGTGATAATGGCGATTCCTAATTATTACCCCACAGAATGTAACCATGGTTGAAATAGGGGTAAACAAGTGCATAATAGATGCTTATCAAAGATTGGGTTGTTACATGTCATTTCAGTTTCGCAATGATAATTTACACTTTTGCTAATTTAACTACTGATAATTATGGTCAATATGGTCATGCCTAGACAAAAAGCAATCAATAACTAATCCTAGGTATTTTAATGCTGTAAGACTGCTAAAGATACTGGTTGGCAATTTTTAGACTTTTTGGTACCAAAATATCTCCATAGGTGAGATAAATTGGTTAAGAATGCATCTCTCAAAAATTTGACTTAACGTGAAAGAACTGATATGGGGCAATAGTTAAAGGCAAATCTCTGTTTACATTTTCTGCCTCAATGACATATGCTCATCATTATCTGATGAAGCTAATAAAATAAAACACCTGAATATTGAAAGAGCATAACAATTTCAGCTATCTCTGAAAATTTGAGCCCGATATACTGAACGGTTTCAGAGAGATTCTCTTTTAAAAACTCGAAATTTTACAAAGAATGTATTACTCATTATTTTTTTTGCCACCCAGCAATTTCGCAGTTTTAGATGGCTGATATTTCCTTCAATATTGCTTTTAATAAGCTGAAAATTGCACAAATTGTTTAAGTTAATCAGCTCTTTCAACTTTTGAATTTAGTTTGTATATACAGCTACCGCTTCTTTGAGTTATGTTGTATACTAATGAGGAAAAATGTAAACAATGACGTCAGCAAAGATTTGCCTATTGCATGAGGAATGAGAGCCTTGTTTAAAGATTGGTATAACTTTGGCAATTTTCAAGTTATCTGGAAATATGCCATGTTTAAGTGACAAATTTATGACATGTGTCAGCGGTTGAAATATTTCAAGTGCAGATATACAGTACCGCTCAAAAGTAAGTTACCAGTTGCGACGCCTTTCTTGTGTGACAAGAATTGTGTCTCGTGCTACACACTCCTTGCCGCACACTACAAGAATCGAATAGTTTAGATTGTTCTTCACAGCATTTTTATACAGTCACTACTTGATACACATTATTTCCATCCACAATGGTATCTGACATCCACAATGGGCCCAGGGTGGGAAATTTGACTCAATCACATTGTTTACGCTCATAATTTCCGCATTACAATCGCTATTTTGAACACAGTGAGGGAATGGGCCGGGTAGGGTTCATTTGTCACCAAGTAACTACTCTCTGGAGATGCTGAGTGCTGCAATAAAGTGTTGTGAGTGCCTATAGTTCATTGAAATTAGGATGCAAGGTCTGTGGTCCCCAGGGGTGGGAATTTGACTCAAAATGGAGATTCAGGGGTGTGGAAATAGACATTTTGAAAACCTTAAAATGTCAAATTTCCCGTGGGTTGCCCGCCTCTCCTATCCCGATGCAAACCATTCACAGGTGCATAAGACAACAGTGTATTTGCTGAAAAGCAATTTTTGCATGACAGCACATCACAAATTTGCATAGTGTCAAAACATGTGCGATTTGAAACCTACTTCTCAGGTAATGCATTTGCATCATATTACACTTTATGAAAAGATACCCTTTTCCGTCGCACTTATGACTCTGCTTATGACTCTGACTCCATCGCTAGCGAAAACTAGCCTTAAGTAGTTAAGATATAAAGTTCTTAATTAGGGGTTTTCACATGACATCACCAAAATTCACAATAAGAAACTATCGATTCTTCTGAGTTTCTACTTTCATGAGGTATCACAGCACCTAAAAACCCTTAGTTACACAAATTTTAGGTTCCAAAAGGGTTCTTCGTTTTGCGATTATCATAGAAGACGCTTGAATTTCCAAAGAAAATGATGAATGAAAATAATTGCACTTTTCTCAATCCTTTAATTTAATGTGATACAGTCTTTGAATTTTCAACTTCCTTGGCATGATTTTATACTTTGATGTTGAACCATTATTCAAGTTGTGTGACGTTACAAAATATGTATTCCTGTCAGTTTTCAATTTCAGTCACAGAAAATTAAATCTTGTACGTATAACAAGTATCTTGCTAACAATGTCTTTGAAAACGCTCTCCATACACAGAATTCAGAGAACCCATCACTTAGCAAGGATTCTAGTTGCCTTGAAAGGAATTTACAGTGCACTATTTTTAATCAAAGACTAGCACCGTGTCAAGTCTTGTCAAAGCAAGCAAAGGTGCAAAGAGCTTTTGATTTCAAGCCTGTGTCATAGAAATAATGTTTAACTCCAAAATGGCAAAAAAGGAAAACAATAAATCATAACAATGGTAGTAAACAGGCACAGTTTTTTTCACGATTTTTCTAGCGAGGAAAGGCTAGCAGGCTTGGAATCAGCCGACAGCGTCTATTCTCCTGGCAGGTATCATATCCTTTGATCTCAAATCATTTGATATTTGCATACCTCTGTAAAAGGTCAAAACATTATTTTCGAGAAACTTGTTGAAAAAAGAAACTTAAGTATTGAATAAAATGTGATATGGCTGATAATTGAATGATAATGTGGAAGTGATAATGGCTATAAAGGAGCAGAACAAGATCGGTGACTATTCATGATGCATTTGTAAACAAACTTCTTAATGTGACCACTCAAGAATACCTGGGCTGAGTTGTTCAAAGCTGGGTTAAGATGACCCAGGGTTAGTGCGAGATTTTAATTCAGATTTGAAAGCTTAAAAAGCATTTCAGTTTTAATTCTTTTTGTCTACAAGATGGTGATTGGAAGCTCTAAAAATAACTGAGAAAATTATCCTAGAAAATGCTTCAGAACACAAGAAAAAGAAACCCGGGTTAAATTTAACTCCAGGTTAAGCGCTAACCGACCTTCGAACAACTGGGCCCTGGAGAATAACGTGAATGGCTGGCAATGAACTTGTTTTGGGATGGAAACTCAGCTAAAACTTATGATTGAACAGATAGCTCCAGTCATCTGAATGGTCAACAATTTTTTTCAAACAGATAGCCTGAGCTGTTTGAAGGGATAACAATTTTTTTCGAATGGATATCCTAAGTTGTTCAAACGGATGACAATTTTTTTGAACAGATAGTCCAAGCCCTTTGAACGGCTAATGAACTGTATATGAACTACTGTCCATTTGAACACGGAAAACTGTAAGGAATGTTATGGAGTGTGAGGTCATATTTATGAATTCCTCAAGCGATAAATTCATGCATAAGTAGGAAAACTCCAAATCAGATGTTTTTGTCGGTTTCTGCCGGCCATATTTGTGCCCCTCAAATGGACATCAACATGGCGTCTCCATACAAAGCCTTACAAATCTGAGTAAAACGTTTTTGTGAACATCTCACATATGGGTTATTCCAGAGACCTGATTCTTGGCTTGCCTTATCTTCTTTCATTTCCCAGATTCTGGACTTTCTGTATTGACTGGTTAGCATTTTCATTTTTGATAGCATGACAGTGAAAACGCAGAATACAGTATATGGTCCTTGGTCCGTGAGGTCCTTGGTCCATGACTTTTCCAAGCATGATTAAATATTCGGTCGAGAAATACAATATGGGAAAAAATGAACGGTCTGATGATTTATTGATTAGCATTTTTTCTTACGACAAAGTTTCAGCTTTCCCGCCATGGGTGAAAGCGTGAAACTAAAGTTTGTTGACAGGTAGGTTAATTTGTCTTTCTTGAAGTTTGGCCTTTTGTGGCACCGTAATTTACACGGTCATGTTTACTTAGCTTGTGAATAAAATAATAAAACGCATTGGGAAGACGTGCTTTTTGGCAGAACAGCTTGTCAGATAAACCTTTTTCTGTTGTGAAAACACATTGCCCCAGATTTTTAAGTTTTTGTTTTGTTGACTCTTAAAATATATCACCAAATTTCACGTAGTGGTCCTTGGTCCACGACCTTTGACCTTGGTGGAATTTAATACACTTCACAAAATAAAAGGAGGTAGCCTTTTTTTCAAATAATGTTTTAAAAATCTTCCCTATACATGTTAACAAGTTCTCTTTTCTTAATATCTCAAATACATACACAGTTTTTAGTAATTATTTTGGACCGTGTTGAAAACCGCTTGTGTTGGAGACTGTTGTCTCAAGTCTTTGAAAGAAAAGCAGATTATTTTATACTGACAATGAGTGCTTACCATTTGTATGGAAATTTCAGTGAAAAACTTCCACCAAATGGTACTGGTATTTGTTTTGACACCGAGAACAGGAACGGGATTGAGTTGTACTATTTACAAAATATAGGTGAATTTTTCATCTTCTCTCGACATGAAGCCTGGCACTGGTAATCCAAACGAATGGTACAGAAAAGTTGTGGTCGTTTCCGGAAATTTTCCACCTGGATGAACCGTTCCATTTGAATTCTCCCTGGAATTTCCAGGTTTTCCATACAAATGGTAAGCGCTCAACAACTCCCGAAAAAAACTGTAGCTTTATTGCATCAAGAATAGTGACATATTGTGAAAATACGTCTTCGTGTGGAAACTACTGTATTCTCACGTTTTTTTCCTGCTGCTTACCTGATTCGCGGACCAAGGGCCACACTCGCGGACCAAGGTCCGGGAGCACGGTCGCCTGTTTTCGAATTACATTCAGTAATACTTAAAGTTGGAACTTGCAACTTCACGATTAACGAGAGGAACATTAAAGCTATCTTAAGGAGGTATTTCAGCTCGTTACGATACGATTCAGCTAAGATACTCACGATAATAATTTTTAGTAGCGGACCGTGGACCACATACTATATGCAAATTCAATTCGAGATGGAGTGTACAGTGTAAGAAACCATGACGCATACTTTGTAAAATGATTACCTTTTCCTCCGAAATTCCGTGATCCATCGTAAGATGTCGTTATTTCAAGTGTAGCATCTTCCACAGCCTTGGCAAACAGATTCTTTGACATTGTCCAAGTACAGAGTGGTGAACTGTAAAAGTAACCTAGCCTGGTAGTCGCGGTCAGTTCTTTATGTAAGACTCCATAATATGTCCCGAATATATTTACACCGAGTAGTAAAACGGTCAGTGTAAAACGCAGACTGCGGACTGCAGACTGCAGACTGCGGACCAGGGGTAAAATGCAGACTGAGTGTAAAATGCAGACTGCAGACTAAGAGTAAAACGCAGGCTGGGGTAAAATGCAGAATAAAGACTGTAGACTTTTTTAAACATTTGTGCTCCTTCTTCTTCAAATCGGTGAAATAGCTAGCCGGGTTACACACTTCGCTTCCTAGTCGAAGTGAATTGCACATTCGCAAGAAGTTTCAATGAACATCCAAACAGCTTAAGTCTGCGTACCTTGATTTGCAATACTTTCATAGAAGGTCATCCAAATTTCCTGCCGAACATCTTTCTTTGTTGTTGGGATGACTTACTCCCGTTTTTATCGCCATAATTCCTGTACAGTATTTTGGGTCAGCAGCTTTCATTTAAGTGTAAAACATCGTGGTGTTGTACCAGTTCACCGTCCCTGGTCACGTATATCGAAAACTTCGCATCAAAAGTTGAAGCGTGAAGTCTCTCGGATGGAAAAAAGGTTCAAGATTGCGATTATGTTTTCGGGTCGTCGACGACGTTCCAGAGAAGAAAGGAATGGATTTGTGAAAGCAGATGTCATCAAGTAAGTGTTCGTTTACATGTATTTGCGGGATTTCTTTGCCCTTAAACCCTTCCACGACTACACTTTATGCTCGGTCTGCATTTTACCCCAGCCTGCGTTTTACTCCTAGTCTGCAGTCTGCATTTTACACCGGTGTGCGACAAACGCAGACTGCAGACTTGCAGACCTGCAGATCTGCAGACTTGCAGACTAGCAGACTTGCAGACTCGAAGATTTGCAGACCTACATTTTTTGTGACAGGGCTTTGCTCTGTTTACTGTTGGCGAATCGTAAAGTATGTCTGAGGCAAACAACAGCGCTAGCGGGCTGCAAGCACAACAGTACCCGATTCGACAGATGACTGGAAATCCTTGCCGTGGAAGACTTAACATCGGAAGAATGGTGACCTAAACTTCAGCGAGAGCAGCGAAGAAGAAGACGGGTGAGATCATCGAGCGGCCTTATAGCGGAAGGACATCTGTGAGCAGGGAATAAGTCAGCACAGAATTTGATTGTCGGCGAATTTCTGTAATCATCCATCGTTTGCTAGTGATAAGCTAGCCGTTGTTCACTCGTCTTGCTTGTTTGGGGCCGAGTCTTATTCCGGTCAAAGAGAGAGAAAGAGTTTCTGGCAAGGTTTCCAATCAAAGATTTGTGAACTCGTGTCTGGCAAACTCTCCAAGTGTTTATACACACACGGTTGTATGCACCTTATAACTTCATCTACGCTTAACGAGTGTCTTTTGGTCCATAACTTTCAGTGAAAGAACTGCTCCACAGAATGTCACTGATAACACTTAACGCAAAAGAGGATCGAAGTATGACTGCACAATAAATGTCACAAAATCTACCTAAGCGGTCCCTTCGGAACTTTCTGTCTTCATCACGTCATCATTACCTACCGATTCCTCGTGGCCCCTGTTCAAGCATACTGACTGTATATTTCTGGCATACTGACTGTATATTTCAACTGTAAGTACTTTCCTTAATATACGCGCGAGTTACTAGAGTGCCTCCTCGGGATTTCTCCCTCTGGACGAGATCCCTGCGGGGGCAATTATCCCCCCCCCCTGTGAGTTCCGAACGTGTCTGCAAGTCTGCAAGTCTGCAAGTCTGCAGGTCTGCAAGTCTGCAAGTCTGCAAGTCTGCAGGTCTGCAAGTCTGCAGTTCTGCGGTCTGCAAGTCTGCAGTCTGCGTTTGTCGCACACCGATTTTACACTCAGTGTGCATTTTACCCCTGGTCTGCAGTCTGCAGTCCGCAGTCTGCGTTTTACACTGACCGGTAGTAAAATCCAACTAGTTGGTCAAAAATATAGAGACAAAACAACTTTAGCTAACAAAGCGCGATTTAGCCGCCATTGATTTCGTTTTCAAAGCCGGTACTTTTCGCTACTAGTAGTGGGCTATAACACATAGCCTAGTGGTAACTCCACCAATAAGAACGCAGCATTGATAATACAGTGGAACCCCGATACAACGATCCTCGATAAAACGATATCCCCGGTATAACGATAAATATGCTATGGCGGCTATGTCCCGGCAAAAGTTACAGTAAAGTGTATGAGACAGAACCCCGATATAACGATCTTCGATATAACGATATTCCCGATATAACAATGAGTTTTTAGCGCACCGAGCGTAAAATCTTCCCCGATATAACGATATTACAGTATCAGTACACAGATACAATTTAAACAAAACATTGAATTTAATACAATAACAACAAGTTTATTCAGTATTACCATTTTGTACAGGTGTTACCGATTAAAATAACAATAATAAACAGCTAAGTTTAAGAAATGCAGATATGATGGAACGGTAGAATTAACTATGTTTCTTTCGTCTTTCAAATGCTTGAAAGGTGAAATTAGCAGCTAGCCTGCTGATATGTGAATCAGTATAGTTAAAAAGAAAACAGACTTTATCATGGATATTGTAATTTGTAAATAATGTATTTCGGTCGTTGATTTTAATAAACAGAGTCTTTCTCAAATCATTGTATTGATCACAGTGAAATAATATGTGCAGTTCATTTTCAACCGAATTTTGGTTGTAATGATCACAGATTCTAAGGTCTTCAGGAGTTTTGGGGATTGTACAATAACATTACAGTAATCGAGTACAGTAATCTGTAACGTTTCTGTCAACAGCTTTCAGTTTACGATACCTCTTTATCCTCCTTGTCATTTAATAGTTCTTTCAGTTTTAACGTAGTTTTAGTATTTTTGACTCCTTCTTGTTACAAAAAGTAAGCAATTAGAGATTTTATTATTACGTTGGATGATTCGGGCGAACGAGAGAGAATTCCTTTCCTCTCTTTCAGCGATGGAGGATGCCTTTTCAAGATTGCAAATAAAACAAATGATGCAAACCAAACTTGAAGAGTACTTTAATTAATGAACAAGTGTCTGTTAAAAAAGAAAAACAATGAACACGCAAACAGCGAAAAGTAAAGACGATTACAGTCGCAACTTCAAATGTGTAAGTTTTGTTTTGTTTCCCTTTTACGATTCATACAACAGACTTTTATGTGTAACCTTGATAACGTCTAATGCTTTACAAATTGCTTAACGACATTGCTGCGTGCTTGAAAAGCTTCATCTGTTAGTCATTTGATACTCATTACAAGTTTAATTAAACAATATGTAGTAAAAAAAGTACATATTCATTTTACCCCGATATAACGATATTTTCGGTTATTTTACGGCAATATCGTTATATCGGGAGTCTCGATATAACGATCTAATTCCGCTGCTCCCTTGGCATATCGTTATATCGGGGTTCCACTGTAGACCACTTGTTCGATTTTGCTAAAGAATGTTGGACTGTCACAGTCCCCTATTTTTCCGTAAGATCGTCGAGATCGAGCGCTTTGCGTTGGGGGCAGCCATCTCGGTTTGGGAGGAAGTGAGAAAAATATTATTATTATCTATTTTTCTTCCCTCCCTCTCCCTAGAGCTAAAATCCCCGACCCCCGCCCCCTCGGTACATTTTGAAAATCAAGATGGCCGCCATTAACGGTAAGACGCGCGCGATCTCGACGATCTCACGAAGGTGACCCTATTCGGCAGAATAGCGGACTGACGGAATGACGGAACGGAATGGCGGAATAACCGGAATATTCTAAAATACGGAATATACGGAATACTCTAAAGCACGAAATTTACAGAATATTCTGTAATTGATTTGAACTAACCTGAATTTCATCCGATTACTTCGAAAAACTAGGGTATCTAAAAGATAGAAATGCTGCGGCACATTCTGTTGATACTGGCATTAGTTAGGCAGTGGGACTTAAAAGAATCGAAAACGACACTGAATGTCCTATTTACATGTTGAAAAGTAGTAGAATAATTACTATCAGTCTATACAAAGAACTCGTGGTAACGTTGTTTAGAAAATGATCAAGTGGTTATCAACTCTGGTTTTCCCACAGTAAATTGTAGGAAATGATAGAAATTCAGATTGTTTATCCATATATTTAATATACGGTGTACTATCTTTTCTCTGGAAACACGATACTTTTCTTGCTGTTTATTGTACTTTATTAAGTAACAGTTATTTAGCTATATATTTATAGCAAGAGGTCCCCTTTATAGTCTCTTGATTTATAGAAAACAACAACACAAAAAACGGAAAAAAAAAGGAAAGAAAGAAAAAAAGGCCGGTAGGACTCGAACCCGGCACCATCGGCTCGACACGACTACATCTAACCACTACACCACAGAGACTGATTACGTAATGTTGGCAAAAGTCTTTGATTTAATGCCTTTTCCATGAAACTTCCGCCGGCAAGATGATCGCCAGCCGCATTAATCGAGCTATGAGCAGTAAAGGCACAATATAAACGCATATTCCATGGCAATGAATGAATGAAAGAACGTAATTATGCTTTTCAAAACGCCGATACACGTCCTCGTCTGCAACGTAGGACACAAAACATATGTTTTGTTATCTCGATTTCCGCTGTTATTTTGAAGCGAATGGTCAAAATCACATCGATTTTCGGCTCATACAGGTTCTTAAGAATAGCATGGCATGACATTTTCTCACTTTCACATCACCTTCTAGCAAGCTGGAATTTGTATATCCCCCGTGTTGCGGAGTCGACTAGCAAATGCTCATCTTCTCGTCAGGTTTAACACCTGGACGAGTCAAATTAAAGGCTCTTGAATTGAAATGCAATCCCCAAGTTAACCATCGTTTTCATCTGAAAGACTCCTGCGTGTCGTAAATTTGGTAAGACCTCTAACCGTGCAGTAGAAAATTTGCTACAAAGAAACTCTGAGTCTGGGCAGCCAACGATGCGAACTTCCCCTTGTTTTTATTTGAGTTGTTCGTGGCGCAATGCACTCTGGTTAAAT